AATCTTCTTGCAGTGGAAAGGGGCTATTGTTTTCCCCTCCTTTCTCCCCCTCCAGGTACCAAGGCCCTATATTTCCTTGTCATTTGACATTTTGCATTTTGTGCCTTTTTACATTTCACCAACCCGTATTGTTTGTTCTGCTGTTTGTGTTTTATATTTTGTTAACCCTGGTTTTTGTCAATGACTGTAAGTGCCTAACCTTTGTTGAATCCTGCCCCCTTGGGGCATTGTAGTGTCCACTATACCCTCTGATTTATGCCTGTTATGTTCCCAGTATTAAAAGGTATATGGTTAAGTCCCATTGGTGGTCTGGCTCTGCTCTATAGGGGAGGAGAGTCCCTAGCCCTCCCACAGCGCTTGTGCACCTGCTTTGATCCCTTCAACTGGAGAGGGGGTACCTCTTGGAGTACTGCCCAGGCTACAGATATATAGAGCCTAGGGCTGTCTAGACCCAAAACTAGGATTACCATGTGTCTGGGTTTTCCTGGACATGTCATCTTTTTGGGTCCTCTGACCTCCATCCAGGTAGTTTTTTGAAATACAAAATGTCTGGAATTTCCTTTGCTAGGCCTTTTTTGACATGGATGGTGGTAGGAACAAGAACTTCATTTCCAGGCTTGCCTTGTGGCAAGCATATTGGGGGGGCTGAGCCTTCTGTTTCCTGTGGGGAAAAATGAGGATAAATGCAGTGCTGCTTGTGGCAAATGGAAGCAGGGGGCACCATGTGTGTCCTGCATGCCCGCAACCAGTCAGGGTAGGGGGAGCAGCCCCCTCAGCTGCATACAGGTAGGTCTGTGGGGGGCAAGAGTTGGACTGCCTGGGGTTTGGGGACTCTCCAGGGCCCCCAGACTGGGGGGCTGTGTGTGTGTGTATGTGTGGGGCCAGGAGATGGGGCTGCAGCAGGGCAGGGGTCAGGGGGAGGCACCTGCCCCTCCAACGTTGGGGCTTTTTGGGGGTGGTGAGGAGCTGCATCGCTGGGCTGGCCAGGAGATGCTGCCGAGGGTGGCAGCCATGGCCAGTTCTCCTGACACAGCACTGGAGCCCAGGCCGGGATGGGGAGTGCCACAGGGCTATGCTCCTCCTCGTTCCAGCCCCTGCCGGGGTCGGTCTCACTCCGTTGCCTCCCGCATGAGCCAGAGCTGCTGCACAGAGGGCGCTGGGTGGGGAGTGAGGGGCACCAGCAGGGACTGGGGGGCAGGGGACAGTGGTTTGGGAGTGACTGGCAACAGCAGGGCCAGAGGTCATGGGTCGGGAGTGAGGGCCAGCAGCAGGGATGGGAAGCTGCAGGTTGGGACTGAGGGGCACCAGTATAGCTCAGCGGAGCGAGGGATTGTGGGTCAGGAGTGAGAGGCACCAACAGGGCCAGGGGTCTGTGGGTTGGGAGTGGAGGGCAGCAGCAGGGACAAGGGGCTGCAGGCTGGGAGTGAGGGGCATTGGCAGAGCCAGGGAGCTGTGGGTTGGGAATGAGATGTCCCCCCGACAGGTGTCCTGTTTTTTTGGAACTGGAAATATGGCAACCCTATCCAGAACAGCACCTTGAGCTGTGCCCAGAAACCCACTGGAAGCCAGTGCAGACTGGTGCACCGGGGTGATGTGCCCCCGCTAAGTGTCCACCATCAGCAGGCAGCTGCCATGGTCCACCCTAACCACAGCTTGCAAGTGGCCACTGAGGGCAGCCCCACAGAGCGCACAAGGCCCTTGTCCAACCACAAGGTTGAAAAGTTGGGAGGGGTGGATACGACTTTTTAGACAGTTCTCAGCCCCCAGATAACAGCCCTGGCAGTCGTAAAAAGCTCTTGGCTGTCAGCAGCTGCACTGAGAAGTGCTGGGTATGTTGAATGATTTGGTAGTCGCTTAAAATACTTTTCCTGTTGTTTGCATTGGAGTTGTCCACAGCTGCCTCTCCACAAAGGGTTAACAGATTCCTCCGGAGTCCAAGGGCTGGATCTTGACCCCGAGGCTCCTGCCAGCTCAGCAGCAGCTATCATTTCCCAGAAAGGAAACACCCCAGTGTGAGCTGAACTCTGAGCTCAGGTAAGAGAAACCAGCCAGTCACCTCCCTGCTCCCAGCCATGGCCGCTGAGAGCTCTGTACAAAGCCTCTGGGATGAAGTGACCTGCTCCATCTGCCTGGACTTCTTCAGGGATCCAGTGATGATCATGGGCTGTGGGCACAACTTCTGCCGAGCCTGCATCACCCAGTGTTGGGAGGGGGCCGAGATAGACGTCGCCTGCCCCCAGTGCAGACAGACCTTTCCGCAGAGGATCCTGGGCCCAAACAGGCAGCTGGTGAATGTGATAGAAATAGCCAAAAAGCTGAGTGTGCTGGCAGTGAAAGGGGAAGGAGGGGAGCGTGTGTGTGAGAAGCATGGGGAGGCTCTGAAGCTCTTCTGCAAGACAGACCAGATACTGATGTGCTTGATCTGCCGGAAGTCCCGGGCACACCGAGCTCACCCCGCGGCTCCCATCCAGGAGGCTGCGCAGCAGTACAAGGTACAGGGTCATGGGCCTGGGTCAGAATGAACAGATGAGGCTGGTTAAAGCTTTCTTAAAATCAGGGGTGAACAATTCATTTGGCTCTCGGGCCACTTAGGGAGTTTTGTGGGCTGGGTCAGCACCCCCAACCCAACAACAGCTCACCAAAACTTCCTAAGTGGCACTGCTCTGCTCTGGACCAGATGGGTGGGATGGAGCCATGGGCGGGCAGGGAGCAGCATCCAGGACTGGGAGGGTTGCCCAGGACTGGGGCTGGAATAGCAGGGCTGTGATAGTGTGGGGCCAGGCCCTGGGGCAGAGCCACAACCTGCTCCCTGCACCCCTGTCACAGGCACCGTGAGCCATATTTTGCCCCAGCCCAGCTCTAAAATGTGTCACTGCTCTCGGGGTGTGGAGACAGGAACACGTGGAAAAAAAGAGGCCTGTATCACAACGGCAACAGCTTGTACTCTCTTATTGTTATGTGTCAAGGAGCTCAGAATGATTCAGATATAGCAAGCCTGCTCCAGCTTGAACCCTAGATGAAGGAGCACTAAAGTTGGAGCAGGTTTGCTATATTCAAATTGTCCCACTGCTGCCTTTCCACATTGGAAAGGGCTGCAAGCATTCATGTGCCCTCAGTGGTGTTTCTGTGGAAAAGTCTGAGGGGTAGGCCTTACCTGCAGATCGCTGCCTGGCTCTGTTCCTGGCCGTGCCCCAGGCTTCCAGGGGCTCCTGTTTGGAGCAGACTCAACTAACCAAGTCTGCTGAAGTGTGATAATTACCGTGCTCCAGCAGACACCAGTGTCACCTGTATCAGCATCCCTGCACTAAAAGATCCTGGCAGGGGCAGTTTAACTAAAGCTCATTTGATGAGCTTCAGTTAGTGTCCTCGTGCCATAGTTCATCATGGGGACACTAATACATGTGACACTCTAGGCGCTTTAGTTAGAGTGGCTCTTGGATCTAATTAAAGCTCCCCCCCCCCGGCTTGCCCTCTGGAACACATCTTTAAATGCCCCGCATGTCCACAGCCTGAGTGATGTTTCTGTGGAAGAGTCTGGGCACACATCTGTGCCATAAGGAGGTGAGAGATGCAGGGGTGTCCATGTGATCAAGGCTTTCTGTTTCAGATAAAATGCAGCAGTGGAGCCACCCCAGGGGCATCTCCTGCCACCTCTGTGTCCAGCAGGCTGGAGGCAGAGATCTTGAGAGCTGTGGCAGAGGCCCCTGAAGTGTCTTTGCTGCTTCAGTTCTAGGTCTGGGTGTGTAAGTGGGAGCAGCTGGGAACCCCTTTTTCTTCCCGAGTGCCAGGGATGAGATGAGGATGAGCCTGTATGGACTTTGTACACAGAACTGATTCAGATGAGACTTGGGATCCCAACACAACATCCCCATAGGACACCAGCACTCAGACTTGTCTCCCCAGGTCTTTCCAGGAGCCCCAGGTCCAGTGTGTGCACAGGGGCAGACTGAACACACCCGTCACAAAGTCCCCCAAGCTTCAAGTACAAGATCCTCAGTTCATCCTCACACTCCCTCTTTGCAGCTTTTGTTCCCCATGTGCTGAGGCATCTGGGAGAGGGAGGAGATGGGAGTGTAATGTTTTTGGAGGGGCTGGTGACACTGGCCACCCTGACCAAGGACATCTGTGAGGCCAATTGTAGCAGAGAGCTCAGAGATGGAGGCTTGGTTGAGGGAATAACGCATCTCAGCCTGCCTCAGAGCAGGGGTCTGTCAGGCGGTGGTGACTGAAGTGAATTTTGTTCACATGCAGCCAAAGAAATTTAAGTCCTTACTATGGGAAGGTGGCAGTGGGGGGGTGGTGTGTGACATGCATTAGCAGGTTGCCCTGGAAGGAAGCGTCAAGCTGGGAAGGGACCTGTCTTAGCTATTCCCAACAGGCTCCTGGTCAAAAGGACGTGATGTATGGCCTGACCCATGGCCCAGTCCCGTACCCAGTAAAGGAATGTGGCGCTGCTAGTTGTCCCGAATGTCTGTCACTCATTTCCCCCAAACACAAGCAGTAACTGTCCCTGAATACAAAGCTTCCTGAGCCCCCAGGGAAGGCCTCGCTGTGGTCTGAGCCCCTGGCTTCTGGCTCTTGTGCAGCCCAGCATTGTTCCTCTTGTGGTCCCTGAGTCAATGAAGCTGGGTAAGCTGGGTAAGAAGAGCAGCAATGCCCCAGGGGAAAGATTGAGTCGATAGTATCAAATCCTTTTGTCACCAAAAGTCATTGGGCTCGTATGCAGGCAGCAATCTTGGTTGTGGGTGTGGAGAAAAGACTCCTTCTCCTCCACTCCTAAAAGAAAACTGACCCAAGGGATTTTCCTTCCTTCAGCAGCGAATTCAGGCTCGTCTGGATATTCTAAGGGAAAAGAGAAAGAGGCTTGAAGCACTGAGAGCGAATGAAAAAGAGAAACACCAGGAATATCAGGTCGGTGCTTGTGGCTAGTAGTGATGAGGGTGGCCTGGAGGGAGGGGAAAGGGTCTCCTGCTCTACAACTGTGCTGAAACTGTGTTGTTTTGTGACCCTGTGTCACTGTGTGCTGGCAGGTGCACATACCCAGGCTTTAGCTGTGGTGACAGGGAAGGTTTGTTGGAGGGAAGCCCTCCATGTCTCCCATATGTAAGGGGCTTCCCCTTAGGGCTGCAGAGAAAACCTTCCCAAGAGGAAAAGGGTGCACAGCTGCCAGGCAGGACCAGAGATGCTGAGCGGCCCCGACTTCTGGTACAGGCTGTGGGAGCTCTGGGGGTTCCCGTCTTCAGGCAATCAGGCCCACAGGGTGCTTACTAGGCCTGTGCGAATAGGTAAGTATTCGATTTGGGTTCAGATTCAGTCGATTCGGAGGACAGCGATTTGATTTGGAGATTCGGATCACTGTCCCAAATTGATTCGGCCGAATTGGTTTCAGAAGATTCGGCATTGATTTGGCCGTCGAGTATAATGGGGAATCACTGAAATACCTAGAACATCATTTTTTGTCTGATTTAAATAAAAAGTCCAGAGATGGTAGCCTCTTCTGAGGGCATGAAGCCTGCCAAGTTTCAAGGAGATAGGTGCAGGGGTTTCTGGGAAACTGCACCTCCAAGTCTTGAAAGCAAAACTTGTGTCACACGTGTGTGTTTAAGGCACAGCAGGGTGAAAAGTGCAAGCACGCTAGGCCCTGCTGCAGCCATGAAGCCTGCCAGCTTTCAAGGAAATAGGTACAGGGGGTTCTGGGAAACTGCACCTCAGGCTGCTGTCAGGCAAAACTTGTGACATGGGTGGGTGGCACTGCACGTGTGTGTGCGTGGTGTGTGTGTGTTAAGGTGTACCCTTGCTGGGGCATCTCCATGACACAGTAGCATGCCCCAATGAGGTCTCCTCCTCCCCTACACCCTCAGTCCGGTCCACCTCTTTAAATAACAACAGGAAAGCACAGCAGTGCACTGCACCACAGTAGCACCAGCAGCATCTCAGGCAGTCATACTGTCACAAACTAGAGCGGTTTTTTCTTCTCCTGCAGGAGCTTCCAGCAGCTGCCAGAGAACTCTCCCTGACAGCCCTGTGGCTGAGATGTGCCCAGGGCCCTGCGTCCTTCCGGTCAGCTGACCGGGGACAGGTGCTAGGGGTGTTGGTCTAAGGACATAGCACTGGCAGAGAAGGTCTTTTGGGTCAATCTGGTATCTTTTAGTAGACCAAATGAATAGCTAGAGTAAGCTGTGACAATGAGGGGTTGTGTTTTGATTTTCATGGAGAGGGGTGGTCTGATGGGACTAAACATCTTATGGTTACTGAAATGTGAATTTTTATAAAAGAATTGAATGGTAGAAGTAGAGATGTTGTTTTGGATATATAAATGATGTGTTACTTTTGGTGTGTGATGGGTTATGTTGCATTGTGGGGCGGGAGAAGGGGGATGTAGCAGCGCAGGTAAAAGTGCAGAGGTACCTGGGGAGTCAGATGTCTGGCAGGTTGAAGTGTATCATAAATCCAATGTCTGTATTGAATCCATGACTTTCTGTACCTAGGAGGCTGATGAAATGAAGTTCATAACCCCAGCTCTGAAAAGTAGTTTGTAAATTCAAACAAGCGCTGAACTTTGCTAACCCCATTATCAAAACTGAAGCCAACTTTCTACAGCTCAAAACACAAAACCTGCCAACAATCTCCAGTACCCCCACAAACTGCACACCAGAATCTATCAAAGACAGCAATACCCAACTTCTGGTGGGGGCACATTCCTCACAAAAAAACCCACTCGGTCTCTCAGGCCTGATTCTGAAAGGGAATTTTACAAACCACTTTTCAGAGCCAGGCCTACAAACTTCTCTTCATCAGCCTCCTAGGTAGTAGGTACAGAAACTCAGGGACTCAGTATAGACATTGGATTTATGACACACTACAACCTGCCGGACATCTAACTCCACCAGTACCTCTCTACCT